AAGAGACTGGGAGAAAGACAGGCTCAGGCGGAACCAGGAGACGGACAGCTGTCACCAAGACCCACACCCAGAACAGGTTGATCTGGGAAGGCCACTGAAGGTATGATGGGCTGTGCTCAGCTGGTGCCAAGACCAGTGGGCAGGACCAGTGGGAGGGCAGCGCGTCCCCCCAGAAGGCCCAGACCTTAATTAACTCGTCTTCCCCATGGCCAGGCCCTGACTCTCAGCTCTGGCATGGGGCCATTACTGAGCCTTCCCTGGGCCGCAAATCCTAGGGACCCATTTGCATCCTCCCCGGTGGGGTGGCCTGAGTTCTTCACACACGTGAACCGGGGGGAGGAAGTGGGAGAAGGCCCTGCACCTGGGCCCCCACCCCCGGCGATCTTGGAAAAGCCATTTCCCTTCTGCTGGGCTCGCCCGCCTCCTAAGCAAAATGGGGCAATAAGTCACAGCTGCCAGCCGCCGGCCGGGGCCGTGGAGGCGAAACAGGGGCTTCCCGCTCCCCTCACCGCCCGCAGAGCAGGCAGGGCCGACGCGGGGTGTGCGTCCGGGCTGGACGGGGGCGGGGGTCCTCGCGGGCGCACGATGTGAGTGTGTAAAGGGGGGAAGGGCAGCCAGGCGAGGCCCGCAGTGGGAGACAACGCTCGGCCCGCAGACCCTGCCCGGGTCACCTGGGGTCCGGGACGCCCGGGTCCCGGCGCGGAGCTGGGCCGCCGGCCCCACCCCCACCGCGCTCCCGCAGCCGGCCGGGCAAAGTCCACCGCCTGGGCCGAGCAGGAAGCCCAGAGGCCCGGCGCGCAGGGGCCAGGGCCCGGGGACCCCCGGCGACCGGCGCTATTGTTCCCACGGCCCCGGCCTCCCCGGCGCGGCGCCCCGCCCCCCGCACCTGCCGCCCCCTCTCCCCCGGCCTGGTACCTGCGCCCCCGAACGCGGCCCGCAGCACCCACGCCAGGCTGGCCGCCGCCTTGGCCCGCGAGAAATCGTACTGGTCCAGCGATTTGATCTCGGGCACAAGGAAGGTCCTCCGCAGCGGCCCGGGCCCGGGGGGCGCCGCCTCCACCATGGCGGCGCCGGGGCTGCGGGCACCGGCTCCGCGCTCGCTCGGGATGAGCTGGGCTGGGCTGCGCCGCGTTAGCACCCTGGCCGGGCCCGCCGTCACCACCACCGTCACCGCCGAGGCCGCAGGCGAGCCA